TTCAAAAAAAAAAAAAGGAACAAACTAAGAAGTATATATTTAATATAATTATATTAATTATATAGATATTTCAGTGAATAAAAAAAATACTTATAACATGTGTTAAAAGCCTAGTTCATATATATATATATATATATATATATATATACATACACACGCACATATACTGTAGAAAAAAGAAACTATCATACTATAATGGCGTATTATTATCAAAATTCATGAATGATTATTATTACTTGTCCCATAAATTTTTGTAGTAATCAAGTATGATTATTATTTTTTTTATAAAAAAATAATTAATTCTAATAATAGCCGTAAAATACTTTCTTTGACTTTTTATTAGAATAAATAATTTAGATGAAAAATTTTTCCTTGTTAAATTACACTTTGTACTAGTCTAATTATTTCGAGTGGTATAATGGTAATTTGGGAGCAAAATACGGACGATTATGGAAAAAAATAATTAATTAATTCAAACCGAGGTTACAAGCATTAATGACGTCACATATTTAACAGTGACGGACGGTGAGGATTGCGTTATGAAACGCAGAGAATATCTACTATTTCTAGGGATCACAAATGCAACCAAAATAAAAAATACAGGTCGCAACATGTAAAGCACAAACACAGCCAGTAGAAACGTGCCACGTGTTACACCCCATCAAGATTGGATCCTTCTACACCTCATCATAATTTCGACGCTTTTCGACGTGGAAACTTTGCACGGACGGACGCGCCCGTGTTTACGCCGCGACTATCTGTAGGAACAAAATGGGTGGGGCCACATGGAATGAGGCAGTGAAAGTGGCGCGTGAAAGAAGCGAGTGTGGGATCGATATGTTGAGTTGAATTCGAACTGAACACCTGAGAGCACGTTGTAGCGCGTCCTTTGACAACTAGGTTTCGACGCGGTACGTTTAAAAGTGGAGGTGACGTGGGAGAATCGAAACGGACGGATTAGAAGATAGGATTTTTGTTCGGTGCCGTCCCAGCCGTTGGATCGAAATTTAGTTAATTTGGTTTGCGTAGGAAATTTGGCTTCAGAAATTCAATCCGCCTTGACATGCGGAGTCAGATTAGGATTTATTTATTTATTTTTCTGTCACGTGCGAAAAGACATTGATAAGATTCAAATAAATATTTGAAATTTCTCCCTCTTTGCTGGGGTGGGCCGTAAGGAGAAAAGTTATGGGGGCCCACTTATGTGTAGCAGTTTGTCGGGTTGGGTGACCCGGATCCAATTCAAATATTTATTTTGCATGTACAGGCACGATCTGAATCCAAACTGGGTATAAAGATTTTATTTTATTTTTTGTTGGAAGGGTATTAATATTTTATACCCATTTAACTATGTATCGAATTTAAAGATTCAAAACCTACTTGTACTAAATTTAAGATTCAAAATCTATGTAGGGTTCAAACTGTAACGAACCTAAAGTTTGATTTAGATAAAAAGAATAAAATTAAATACAAAAGAAAAAAAGAAATTAAAAGATGGTATTTCATGAGGAAGCGTGAGATAGTGGAAAAAAGAAATTGAAAAGATGAATGATCACACACTCAATTACACCACCAGAAGCTAAATGTGTGAGAGAGGGGGAACACATTGCCGTGTAGTGTAGTGAAAAGAAAAAATGAAAGATGAAGACTACCTGCTGGTTCAGCACGACCAGAGAGAGAGAGAGCACGTGTTGCGTTGCCGTGTGGAGGAGGACCACCCCGTCTACTGTAAAAGAAGAACACCGCGTCGGAGAAGATCGTTGCACCGGAGAAGACCACCTGCTTGATAGTTTGCTGTCGAGGCGAGAAGACTGTAGCGCTTAGATATATATATACGTATACAGTATATCCAATATTTAATGTATGTATTATCATTAATTTTTCTTTTCAAACAACTATACATTTTAATGGATTAAAGACACAACACGAGAGCTAAAAATATTAAAGAGGGTTCCGTTTTCTTAAGTGGGCTAAAATTTCTGACATGAGCCCAATTAGATTGACAGGCCCAGAGATATCATCACGTCGCGAATCATCTGATGAGGCGCTGCTGATAAGATCGAACGGTTCTGGAAATGGGACCAGTAATACGGTAATGAGTAGTGAAGCATCTCTTTCACCCAAGAAGAAATCTTTTGTGCCGAAGAAGAAGAGACTCTTTGCCCTTGGCATCTACTGCCTTGTCTCTTGTTCATAACAAAATCTACTCGTTGGCTGACAAATGGAGTTTGACGGGACACGTTTAGGTTAGATAGAGCGAGTATGGGGATGGGGGGTTTGGGTATCTGGTTGGCCCGAGGACTGACACGGCATCGTTTGGACATGAAATCTCAAATCTCAATCCTTTTGAGACATCATGCCTTTTTCAATTATTTACTTGCTTCCTGCTCTTCTCTCTGTCTCCAACCCAGATGCACTCTTTACAATTGAAAATTTGTTTCCTTCTCTTTGTTGTTTTAATCCACGTAGAGTTCTTAAGTTTATGAAACTGGCTTTTTTTTTTTCTTTTCATCTTTTGTTTATGTAGTTTAGTACTGATTTGGAGACAAGAAGAGTACTGGTGCAAAGTTGGGTGTCAAGAGTACAAGACAACCTTTAATGTGAAAAATATTCTCAGGAGGGAATATACTCGACAACTATATTTAGCACATTCCAAATCTTACCAATGAAGTGCAAATCTAACTCAACATGTTTTTGGATATTGAACAAATAATTGAATTAGCAATCGTACATGGAATTAATATTGTCAGGAAAGTTCAATAAATACCCTATCCCAATAAATAAAAAACAAATTCAATATCTTTTATAAAAAAAAAAAAATCGATACAAGAGCACACGATTAGGTCTCCTTACTTGGCCTAGAGACAATAAATTATTTTATTACGTTCCATAAGATAATCTCGTGATAAAAAAATAGATAAAACTAGTAATACAACGTTGCATATTTAGACAATCAAATTATATTTAAATATATTCGAACGATTTTAGATGAGTCAGTATAAAATCAAATAACGGATGATTCATAATAAATTTAAATATTTGATTAACAATTTGAAAAGATTATAGTTTCGATTATTGATATGTTTGATTAACTATATATGATTGAAGTAAATATTGATATTTTTTAAATAGTTAATGCAAAACTTTTATTATAAAAATTGTTGTGAGATAACTTACGTTTATGAATAGTGAAGTAACTAATTTCAGTTGTTAAAGTAAAAAAACTTTAATAAATCTTTTACATATTTTGGCACCACCCTATTCATGTCTAAACTTGTAAATTCGGTGATAACCAACAACATTAGTATTTGGGAGCCAAAAAACAACGTGTTCAAGTATTATTATAGAGAAATACATTATACTCATTGATGATTGACGTCATCCATTTGAGATCTTTGGATTCGAAGCTGAAGTTATGAGATTTAGTTGATAAAGATGTAAGTTTAGAAATAAAAATGAGATGACTCATAACATATTTAGATTTAGAATACTTAAATGTTGTTTTGGATTCGTGTAAGATGATGAAAAGAAGATAAAAAAAATTTTTATTATCTAAACGGTATAAAAACAAGAGTGATTAGATTGGTCATAGACAATACGAGATAAAGCCAGCAAAATAGATACATATTGTTAATATAAATGAGATCAGGATGAAATATTATTATATTATAAGAGGGTAAATATAGGATTAAAGACAAGTTCGAAATATATTTAGATAAGAATTGCATGTGGAAAAACATATCCAACATCTAAAACATGACTGAAAATATGTTTTATCTAAAGGCTCATCCCAAATACTTGTACTTCTTACGTTTACCCAAGAAAACCAACAAATGTATGGTAACCATATATACATATATATATATGTATAAATATGTTATGGTCGAGCACTGAGTTTACACGAAGCGCTAGTAATAAAATAGGATAACATAAGTAACACTTGAAACTAAATTTGAGGTTTGAATTTTATAAGAAAATTTTTTATCAGCAAATGCTAATCAAGATCAGAACCCGATCGTTTTGCTCCTTAAAAGAAAAGAAGCAAAATGTAAGAAGAGACAAAACATTATTATGACACACAGATATATATACATACAAATATATATATATATATATGGGCAAGAAGCACGAAAACTTTTTGGTGCAAATAGCTAATAACTTATTATTTATGCTAACTACGCCTGAGAAAGGCTGCAGCGGACTTAAAAAGAAACGACCGAACCCTTCGATCTTTTTTGACTTGCGTGTGCTTACTTCAATGAAGAATTAATTAATCCAACGAAACCTGTGTTTAATAAAATCCCGCCGCCGTACACCGTCCGATTGGACTGCCAGTTTCTGATGACTTGTTTTACGTGCATTCCCATTCGCTTGATTGAAACGCAACGTTTTAACGTGTGGGACCCAATGGCTTGACAGGTCAGATTCTTTAATTGAAGAAATTTCATTTTATACCAGAAAGTGGGTCCCGCATTGCCAGCCGTGCCACTTTTGAAGCCTTACGCCATAACCGGGTCCGCGGCTCGAAACTGCGAAGACGACAAAATAAAGACAAGCACGCTTTTATTTTTATTTTTCTAAAAAATAATTCATGTAATAAGCCTAACGAAAAAGACAAACACCACTTCCCCACGACCTGGAGACCCCGGTCCGCCCTCTCCACGTCATTCTATTAATTAAATAAAATAAGTAAAACCAAATTAATTAAAATAAATAAATTCAAATTAAACAGAGGTTAAGTTTTGAGCCGTTGACCTGTTGTTGTTTAGGGTATGATTTGATAATACATGTAAGAGGGTACATTAAGGTTTTAGTACAGAGGTATAAGAATGGTGTGGGTCCCATTATATCCATATATGTTTTCTGAACTAGGATTGGGCGAGTGCGCCCACGCTCCACCAGGAACGTGAACCAAAACGCTTTGCTCTTTTTTACCAACTCACACAATCTCCTCATAAAACTCACATTCCTTCCCCCCCCCCCCCCCCCCAACCCCCAACACCAAAATCCAATTCTTTTATTTTTATTTTTTCTCTCTCAAAAACTGTCTGCAAAACACTCTGCTGCACGCTCCGTTCTGCTTCACTGACCCCTCCTTAGCTTCCCTTGAGCCTCCCTATCTGTCTCCATTGTTGTCTCTTTCTTACTCTTCTCTCTCTCCCCCCCTGTCTCTTCACTTTCTTTCTCTGGGTTTTCTTCTTAGAAGCAAGCAACCATGGATGATGCGAGCGGAAGCACAGGAAAGGAGAAGCTTGTTGTGGAGGTAATAGCCGCTCACAACTTGATGCCTAAAGATGGAGAAGGCTCGTCTTCCCCTTTTGTAGAGGTGGAGTTTGAGAATCAGAGACTCAGAACCCAGGTAAAATACAAAGAATTGAACCCCATTTGGAACGAGAAGCTCGTGTTTCATGTCAAGGATATTGCAGATCTTCCTTACAGGACGATAGAAGTTAACGTCTTTAACGAGCGGAGGTCAAGTAACAGCAGGAACTTTCTGGGTAAAGTTAGGGTGTCTGGTTCCAGCATTGCGAAAGAAGGGGAAGACATTAACGCTCAGTTGTATACGCTCGATAAAAGGAGTCTCTTTTCGCATATTAGAGGGGAGATAAGCTTGAAACTTTATGTGTCCGCAAGGGCCGAGGTTAAACAAGCGGGTCTTGGTAATGGAGTTGTGGTCTCGTCTGGAGGTGGTTCTGGGTCTGCTTCTTCTGGGTTTTCAAAGAAAAACAAAAAGGTACAGCAACAAACTCCTTCAATGGCCGTGCAGCAGCAGCAACAACAACAACAGCTAGTTCAAGAGAACAAGACTTCACAGCAGGGTCAAGGCCATGCAAAGCCCACGGAGCCAAACCCAGGTGAGATCAAACCTGTGGTTATCACTACCGGTCATGGTTCTGCTGTACCCGTCGCCAGCGCAGGTGGTGGAGGAATCCCAGTTGGAGGCGGTGGAGGCGGCGGCGGAGGACTGAGTGTATACCCGACTGGCTCTGCTCATGAGTTTTCCCTAAAAGAGACAAGTCCTCACCTTGGTGGGGGTCCTCTGAGTAAGGACAAAACTAGTTCAACTTACGACCTTGTTGAGCAAATGCAGTATCTCTATGTTAGGGTGGTTAAGGCCAAAGACATCTCTTTCTTCGGAGGCGGTGAGATTGTGGCTGAAGTAAAGCTAGGAAACTACAGAGGTGTCACAAAGAGAGTCAATTCAAACAATGCAGAATGGGACCAAGTTTTTGCCTTTTCAAAAGATTGCATACAGTCATCAATGGCGGAGATTTTTGTTAAAGAGAGCAACAAAGATGATTTTTTGGGAAGAGTTTGGTTTGATTTAAACGAAGTACCAAGAAGGGTACCCCCAGATAGTCAGTTGGCACCACAATGGTACAGAATGGAAGACAAGAAAGGAGACAAGGCAAAAGGAGAAGTTATGGTTTCTGTATGGTTTGGGACTCAGGCAGACGAGGCATTTGCCGAGGCTTGGCACTCCAAAGCTGCAAATGTCCATTTTGATGGACTATGCTCGATCAAATCCAAGGTTTACCTATCACCAAAGCTATGGTATTTGAGGGTATCGGTCATTGAAGCTCAAGATATTATTCCGGGCGATAAAGGGCCAGCAATGATGAGATTTCCAGAGCTCTCAGCTAAAGTCCAGGTGGGTAATCAGGTATTGAGAACAAGAACTGCAGCTGCTAGCATGAACAGGAGCTTGTCCAATCCTTATTGGAATGAAGATTTGCTGTTTGTAGTTGCAGAGCCGTTTGAGGACTATCTGTTAGTTTCTGTTGACGATCGTTTTGGCCCTGGAAGAGATGAAGTTGTTGGCAGAGTTCTGCTACCCGTGGGTGCCATTGAGAGAAGAACTGATGAGAAACCAGTGGTTTCAAGGTGGTTCAATCTTGATAACCATTTTGGCAGCAACTCGGCCGAGTCGAAACTTGTCACAAGATTCGGGTCCAGGATTCATCTGAGAGTCTCCCTTGATGGGGGCTACCATGTACTTGATGAGGCCACCATGTACTGCAGTGATGTTAAGCCCACTGCAAAACAGCTATGGAAGCCGCATATAGGCGTGCTCGAAATGGGCATTTTGGGTGCAACAGGGCTTATGCCAATGAAAATCAAAGAAGGTAAAGGGAGCACAACTGATGCTTACTGTGTTGCCAAGTATGGGCAGAAATGGGTGAGAACCAGAACTGTGGTGGATAGCTTGTCTCCAAAATGGAATGAACAGTATACTTGGGAAGTTTTTGACCCTTGTACTGTGGTCACAGTAGGCGTGTTTGATAATTGCCGTGTTGATAAGAATATGATCAATAACTCTGCTGGTCGTGATTCTCGTATTGGTAAGGTGAGAATCAGGTTGTCCACGCTTGAATCAGACAGAGTTTACACTCACTCGTATCCACTCCTTATGCTGCACAATACTGGCGTCAAGAAGATGGGTGAACTTCATTTAGCTCTGAGATTTTCTTGTGCTAACATGGCTAATATGCTGCACATGTACACATTGCCATTGCTTCCAAAGATGCACTATGTGCATCCCTTGAGTGTCAACCAATTGGAGGGCTTGAGGTATCAAGCTATGAATGTGGTAGCATCGAGGCTTAGCAGGGCAGAGCCGCCACTGGGGCGAGAGGTGGTTGAGTATATGCTTGATCATGATTCTCATATGTGGAGTATGAGGAGGAGCAAGGCGAACTTCTTTAGGCTAATGAATGTGATCTCTGGTTTTGTTGCCATGGGTAGATGGGTTGAATCAATGCGGAGTTGGCAAAAGCCTGTATACTCAACTTTGTTTCTTGTGTTTTTTCTCTTGCTTGTTGCACTGCCTGAGCTCATAGTTCCCACCATATTACTCTACTTGGCTTTCTTGGGACTTTGGCAGTACAGGTCACGCCCCCGCCACCCTCCCCACATGGATACAAGGCTCTCCCATGCTGAGAGTGTCTACCCAGATGAATTGGATGAGGAATTTGATTCATTCCCAACGAGCCGGAGTGCAGACATTGTTAGAATGCGGTACGATCGTTTGAGGAGTGTGGCAGGGAGGATTCAGACAGTTGTGGGTGATATGGCCACACAAGGTGAAAGATTTCAGGCGTTGCTAAGTTGGAGAGATCCGAGGGTGACATTCTTATTTGTGATCTTTTGCTTGTTTGCTGCAGTTGGGTTCTATGCTGTGCCAATTAGGGTGGTGGCGGCTTTGTGGGGGCTGTATGTGTTGAGGCCACCGAGATTCAGGAGCAAGTTACCTTCTCGGGCTCTCAGCTTCTTCAGAAGATTGCCGTCAAAAGCTGATAGCTTGTTGTAGACTGCGATGAAAAATGAATGGTTTCAGAAATTAGGGTTTGATAGTTTTAGGACTTGGTGGGGGGTAATATTGTACTAATCTTTTGTCAATGTTTCCAGCGATTGTATGAGCCTATGCAAGAAGCAAGCTGTATGGACGTTGATTATTTGGTCAGTCATTAGTTTTGTGATTTGATCTTCTGTGTACTAGTACTGCTAATGCCCCTCTTACTGTTGATGATAATGAAAGGAAAATAACCTTTCACCTCTCATAGAAAACCCGTGAAGACATTACATAATTTGCATATCATTCCAAACATGGCTTTTTAGAGATTCGTACAACGTTAACATGTCATTTTGATAAACATCCAATACTATAACAACGAAAAAGAATGGGTATCCTTCAGATTGGTACCCGATGTTCCGCATATTTGTTTTGTTGTACTTGCAAACTTTGACTAAGAACAGAGAATTAAAGGAAGACACCGCATTAGGTAACCGCAAGAATAATCCATCTGAAGCAAGTTTGTTTCATCAAGTAAGGAGTACTTGTCATTGCAGTCTCACTTACAAGATTAAAAAGAAAACATCATGCCAGGTGAGACAAAAGGGAAACGGCCCTTCTAACAAGTAGGACAAGATGGAGAAAGCCAGGCTGAGTTTCTTGCTTTGTCTGTTCAATGATGATATCAATCCAAAAATCTAGAGGAAGGATGCCAAGCGGGGATCTGATCGGACAGGAAGACCACCTCGAGCTCCTAAAGCTCTACAATTAGCAGCTGCCTGCAATCAGCACCAGATACAGTTCAAGGACCACCACCACTCATTTGTACCTTGCCTATACAATCTTCCACTTGGTAGAAAGTTTACTTACCACTTGAGCAGCAAACGGCAGCATTTTCTCTGGTGGCATCTCCGCACATATGGCTTCAAAGGAAAAAGGAGTTGCCAATAGGTATCAGAGTATAGTCAAATAATATCCCACGGATATATTAACTGGCAATAATACCAAACAAGGAAATGATTAATTAAGTACATACCATAGAGAACTGCACCAATAAATGCATCCCCAGCGCCTGTTGTATCAACAAGTTCTGACAGTGGTATTTTCTCAGCTGTTCCCACAAATAACCTTCCACTTACTGTTCCTATCCCGTTTGCCTTCAATGTCATCGCTGACTGGGAGGTTGAAAGAAAGAGAAGCAGGAGTTACTGGAACATATAAGCTACCAAATTCAAGCCTCTTTCATTGTTTATACTCCTGAGCAGTTTTTTTTACATAATATAGCTATATCGCTTTCAAATCATAGTTTTCCAGCATAATCATATAGCTGCATGATGCATAATCATGTTTAATTCTAGTCAAGCACTTTCTTAAATGACAGCAAGGAATTATTAATAAAACTATCCTCTAAATCTAGATTCAGATGGCCATCCAGATAGAAATTTAGATTCAGATTTGTTTTGGGTTCAGCGTTTTTTTTATATAAAGAAGTTTTGGGGTCAATGTTATAAAGGGGAAAGTAAAAAATCCACTCCGATGGTAGGGAGGTTAAACTGAAAAAGGATCAAAAAACCCTCTTTTAGAGACTGCGACCAAATTGTTTTTACAAGATAGGAAGTCCACACAGAATAGTAAGGAAGAATCTGAAACTTTATGAAGCGAATTGAAACAATAATATTTAGCTGGTAGGAGAAACTGAATAACTTTCCATAACATGCATGCTTTCTTTGGAAGCCGATCCCATATGGTATTTATTAATAAACTGAATTCAATGGTATGTTGAAAAGTGGTCCATAGCCCCACTAAAAGAGGACGATTCCTGAAATTGACAGCTTTTATGTTTAGGATGCATGACAGTCAATGCAATAAAGCAATGGCTATGAGTTGCCTCAATCCAGAAGACAGGATTAAGATTTAACAAAGAGACGTTCTTTTTCTGCCGCAAAAAAAAAACATGCATAGGCAATCTCATTCTTGCTCATTCTTGCTGCTGACTGCAGCTCAATTTTGATATAAGGTCATTAACAATTCTACCGATGAAATGCATGCTGGGACGGCCATGCTACCATCCCTTCTTTGCTTTAGAAGTTCCAATAAGCTGTCTATCTCCATCTCTTCTGACTCAGAACTCCCTGTCAGATGCAAGGAAAAGAATTAGGCAAATGCAGTTCTGCGTAGTTCCTCTCCAAGAGCAAAAACTTGGTACTCGTCAACCCACCATTTACAGTTCTTTGAAGCATTATGCATCCATCATCACCTAAGGTCACAATAACAAATTTTAATCTTTGCAATCTTAATAGCATAGAGACAAGTGAGCTTGAAATGGATGGTGCCTCTGTCCATGCCTGCCAAATATGAAATCCACGAAGCCCTATTTTATTCAGGATAAAGAAGGCAACAAAATGCAGGAAATCTCAAAGCTCCAAATTAAGATTTAAAGAACCAGTTCAATTCACAGATGAATGGATTTTAGAGTAAACTCTGCAGGGACAACAGGCTGTATATGGTACTATATGACTAATAGCAACCAACATGTTGGTTGAAGCAAAATTGTCACTGCAGATGGTAAGATGACATGAAAAATTTGGAAGCTGATCCACTATTTCATAAAATGCCAACATGATTCCAGTGCATCTCTCAAATCTCAATATGAGATATGCATGTTGCAAGATAGGATTATCAGCATATGGCTAAAAGTACAAAGGAAAAAAATTAAATAAACATTTTTCTAAAATATTTTTTATTGGAGCAAGCCAAAAAGGTAGAAATGATGACAGGTGGTGGAGATGAAGCATCAAAAAGAACTGGTCAAGCATGCAATTGGGCTTTAGATCATAAACTGATACATTGAAATGTTTTTTACACTTAACCTAGACCACAGAACAAACATAAAAACATACCAGTTAGAAAACTTGCCTGGGGAAATTTTGCAGAACATACAGCAAAGTCAGCCAAACCCAGGAGATCATCTAGCCCTTCTCTTTTCCTCTCTGCATCAATTAAAATAGGTATGTTCCTGCGAGCTGCCTGCACTGGAAAAATGAAATATATGCTGCTTACTCTCGAAATTATCCCCATCATGCTCTCTCAAGATGTGTGAAAGAACACAATCATGGATGCTATGGACTAGGTTTTAAAGAGAGACTTGTTCAAGTCTTCAACTTCAAGATATTTACAAGAAGATGCAACTCCTAAAACTGAACCTAGACAACAGTTTCTTAGTTGCCTCACCAAGTTTGAGGGACCAGAAAGGATATAACTAAGGATTGATACATTTAGAAACAACTAAGATGGTTTTACTAAATGAAGTTCAATACAGTAAGACACAACAACTGCAAATTAGAAGTATGAGATTGGTTATATATTGCTTATTTCACTTTTGTAGCTTACTAACAAATGACCACTATCAATTTCACCTATGTCCGATGCCAGGCCAGTTTAAAGCTTGTTGCCATAGGGATAACACTGCAAATAACAATTACCTCACGTGCAACAACTAAAGCAGTTTCGTGCAACCTTCCATCAAAATAGACAATTCTTGCTCCATCAATTGCAGACAATAGATTAGATTGGGAGAGATCATCTGGCATCATGGGAGGGCTTCCAGGAGTGTGAATGCAAGTACGAGTTTTCCTGAAAATATATCCTAAGATTAATTATAGCCAAAATTTCATAAAATTTCCAGGACATTCTCCCTGCAGGTTAAATCAGCCATGCGAACGTTAAGCTCATAAAGTTGTTAATATAAGTTAATCAAAGAAGAAATGCTTCATGAGGAACTAGGGGAGTGCCACAAATTTACGAGAGAATTTGGAAAAGAGGAATTGACAAAATGCCAATAAGGTCTCCAAGATCTTCTCAAGGGGAGGATGAGGCTTAAACAAAATGCACAAGGTCTTGAATCAGTAATCTCTTATTCTATAAAAGGAGAGCAAATGCTCTTCTATTTCTACTTGAGGTTCCTTATTATCCAAACAAAGAAAGCACCAATTATGAACAGTACTAAAATTATGCAAGAGCAGGTAAATGGTACCCTCTCATCCAACCAATCGTATTCCGCACTGGATCAACATTATCGGGAAAGGAACGGCAGTTGCAGAGATCAAGATGAGATTACAACCTATACAATCTATTGAGGCAGGTAGCTGAAAAATTTCTCTAAAGGAAAAATGAATAGCTTTATTTTATGTTTATGGTGATCTGCACCAGGCACAAATGCAAAGAAGAGTTCAAAACTAAGAAAAGGGACCTATAAATAATAAAAAATTCAGATAGTAGTCAAGAGGCATTCCTAAATGTCAATTTCAGTCTGGAGTAAAAATTAATTTTTCCCAGTCCCACCCTTGTTCTTGCTAGTTTTGGTGACAATCGACTTCTCTTTCGTCAAAAAGCAAAGATTGAGGTTTGTATAACATCACATATATCGAAGCATAACTAAATATCCATCAGCATCAACTTGTCCCACACATTTGACTCTGTCATCAAACTAGGTGAACCTTATAGGCATCAGACAATCAATATTCAAGTCATTACCAATAAAATAAAATTTTTTCTTTTACGAGTACTTTTTAAAAAAGTCATAAGGAAGTTTGTGTTCTTTCTTTTTTTTCGATTTTATTTAGTTTAAATTTTATCTGCAAGAAAATTTGAACCATCCCACCGTTTGCAGTCACCAATCTATGAAAAAAAGAAAAAAGAAAAAAGAAAAAAAAGACCTCCACGTTGCTGTCAACAATGACATAGGTAAAAGGTGAAGTGCCTCCATTGGAAACCTGAAAGAGAAGGGCAGGAAGGGAGACAGATCTGGTAAACCAAATCATAATCAATGAAACTCGGTTTGACAGGATTACAGATCACGAGTAATCCAAATTATAAATATACCACAAAAAAGGAAGTGTCGACACCATCTGCTTCAAGCTCCTCCAATATCCCCTTTCCTTGCGAGTCATCTGCAACCTAATGATTGACAGTGAAGTAAACTTGTTTACAAGTTGAAAGACACCTCAATCGTAGAGACTAAAATTCCAATTCTCCACGAGTAAAAGACAGGAGAGGGCGTTGGGGGGGGGGGGGGGGGCATATACAGTTCACTTAAAAGAAATGAAGGAGAAGATTCATTAAAGAAAAAAAAAATGAAGAAGAATATGACAAAAGACCTTAGAGATAAGCCTGGGATTCAAGCCTAAACGAGCAGCGCAAGTCAAAGCATTGCCTGCATTTCCACCTCCTTGGACCTAACAAAATCCACGATCCAAAAGACGATCATAATCTTAACCATTTTTCAAAATTTCCTCCTCTCGTGGAAACAAAAGAAGGAAATGGTGAATGCTGGCTTTAAACTAGTACCTTCAAGCTAGTGCTCCTGATCTTGTCATCCGGCTGAGGATAAGAAGCCACAGTAGCCAAGAAATCCACCGATACTGAACCACACCCTAGCTGCAACCAAAAACACATTGACTAAAATATAACATCATCCAAGTCCACTAACATGCATTTCTGTGACTGCGCGTAGAGAGAGAGAGAGAGAGAGAGAGAGAGACGCACGAGGATGCGATTGTCGGGGAGAGGAGGGAGCGAATCGGAGGAAGACATTTTGAACCTGAAATTTGTGAAGTGTGATCTTCATCTACTTGTAAAAAATGAAATTAAAAAAAAGAAAAAGGAAGAAGAAGAGGAGAGGGTAGGAGGAGACCTGGAAGATTGAGCAGGAGAGGAGAAAAGGAAAGAGAGAGCGAAACGTTGGTTTAGAGAACAAGTAGCGTTTGTTAATGGCGAGAGAGTCAGCATCTCTCTTTTTAATTAGTATGTTCCTGTGCTTAGCACTCGAATGGCGCGTGTACTGTGTAGTCAAAGGTGGCAGTTCCAGTATTAGGATAAGAGCATTGCAATCGCTTCCCCAGTTTCTTCGAGACCCGAAATTGTAGTTATAAGGTTTCGGGTCGGGTCGTTTTCCAGTTCGAATTGCCATTCACCCCGTGTTTGACCCGAAGATTATTGACAGTGTTGGCTGCCAAACAATCAGTTTTAAGTGTAAAATCAAATCTGAAGAATAGAATTGTTAAATCCTTTGAACGCTGGAATTGCTAATTTTATATTAAACATAAAATCATAGAAGAGATTTCCAACCTCACATGGAGACAAGAAAGAGTTAACTACTAACTAATACACAGTTAATCCACAAGAATAAAATTTTACAGACTAAAACCAATTCCACTCACAACTCCAACTTTGCAAATTAATGAATCGAGATTCTCTTTTTTTTTTTTTTTCTTTTAATTAAATTCCACTTAATACTCTTTCTTTCCCTTTCCCTCTCTGTGAACTGGAAACGGCAGAAACCCCAAACCCTAGACTACACCAATTGACCGCTTACAGAAATGCAGCTGATTCTTTGTAACTGTACAGTTCAAAAAAAACACCAGTAACACCTCAAACCCAATAGCCTTTCACTCCGTAGCTGTCTTGAAAGGAGTCCACCATGCTCGCTCATACTCCCTCTCAATCTATACAGGTTTGGCTTACTTCGAATTGTTCTCAAAGGACCTGACCTGTTTCCATGCCGAATTGGTAAAGCTAACCGGTCCCCGCCCAAACTTGAAGCTGAAAATGGTCTGTTTTCCATTTCTTCAAGTGGCCCGGAGCTGTACTCCATTGTAATGAATGAAGAGGCCTGCCCATAAGTTAATCGAGGCGTGATACCCCCGGCATTCCACCAGCTACTATCTGAAGGCATAAGATCACCCTTACAGTCAGAGTCCAGACCAGAGGACTCCTTTTGACTACAGTAGTCCCCGCAGTTTTCATCTGTATCATTGTATATCAGCTTCAGTGCCTGGACTACTTCACCCATGAAGGGTCTCTGCGTTACCTCAGGATGCACACACATGGAAGCAATTGCTGCCACCTTGGCCATGTCGTCAAAATTATAGCCGCCAGCCAAGGAAGGATCCACTAACTTCTCTACACCTTCTCTACTGGTCAGCAATGGCCGTGCCCAAGTTACAAGGTTTTCTTGTCCTGGAGGTTGCGACATGTCTACAGGTTTTCTTCCTGAGAGAAGCTCAAGTAGCACTACACCATAGCTGTATACGTCACTCTTGACAAGAAGATGCCCTGTCATAGCATATTCGGGGGCAACATACCTGCAAATGCATTCGGGGCAACATTCTGTGAGAGTAGTTTGACATAGTCCTGTCGCAAAGAACTGCAGCAGTGTAGTATATTTTTTTCCTCAAAAGGTTGTAGTAGTTTGTATACGCCACAAAAGAAAATGATAGAGTAATTATGGCAGAAACTGGGTATTCAGAGTTATGTAACATTAAGGAATGCATGCACATTTGCTAATATAAAATTTCGAGATGAAATATTTCAATCAGTTGCGGGTGTTAAACAGTAAGTAAATTAATATTTTAAAACATCTTTAATTTGAAAATTGTGTCATCATCTGCAAGCTTCGGAACTAATTCCTATTTTGGAGATTTTGATGTTAATTGTTCAACAATCCAAATGAGAAACTAGGAAGTGTCAGGCTTCTCAAAGGTGTTGCAAAACCATACCAAAAGAAATTGTGCTTACCCAAAAGTTCCCATGACGCGAGTAGATATATGCTGACTTCCTTCAGTGGCTTCCCTTGCCAACCCAAAATCTGAAACCTTTGGAGTAAAATCACCCTCCAGTAAAACATTACTAGCCTTAAAATCTCGGTGAATCACTCGAGGATTTGAATCTTCATGAAGATAGGCTAATCCCCTGGCAGCTCCAAGGGCAATCTTCATGCGTGCATCCCAATCAAGAGGTCCTTTGCTCTTGTCAACACCTAAGACAGCACTCCAGAGTTAATGCACAATAATTTAGAAACAGGGATGAACCTGATTCAGTAAGAACCATAATAAGACAATGAAAATTTTAATTTTACAACAGAAGGTGCATTGAATAAAAATAAACTGAAGTCAGACACTATTGTTCACATAATATTCAATAGTACTTGACCCAAACTACATACCACTAAGTACCTTTCAATTATGAGACAAAGGTAAAAAGAATTCATACCATGCAAATGGGACTCGACGCTGCCATTATGAACAAGTTCATACACCAAGCAACGTGTCCGTCCTTCAATGCATATACCAATCAGTTTCACAAGGTTGCGATGATGCAATCGGCTTAGCATCTCAATTTCTGCAATAAATTCACGGTCTCTATTCTGATTATCCCTAGTCAGCAACTTAACAGCAACTTCAGTTCCATCTTCTACTGTGCCACGGTAAACACGCCCAAATCCTCCTTCACCCAAAATCCTCTTTGAGCTGAATTTATCTGTTGCCTTCTCAAGCTCAGCAAATGCAAATGTTTTAACAGACAGAACAGATGTTCCCATGGTGGAAATAAGGGACATGGATGTAGAGCTTTCAATGCTACTTGATAAGATAGAGCCTGTGCCTGTGTTAAAAATGAAGATTGAGTAGAGCAATGACTGAACATCAAACCAGCTGACAGTTCAGAGGCCATATTAGAAAACTCAAAAAACCTACAAGAATCACAAGAGACCCATCTTCCAGAAGTGACAAAATGAACAAGTGTGAGAATATTCTGGAAACAAGCGAGGGAGGAATAGGGTCCAAAAGAAATAAGACTTGGGCAATATTCAGTTCAAAATATTAATTCCATGGAAGAGTAAGGAATACAATACTAAAAAGAAAACTTGGAATGAGAATAGTATTCCAATCATGTATTCAATTCACGCTAGCTAGATCATAATTCCCATCTAGCCAAGAATAGAAATCCATTGTAGAATTCGACAAAGAAGTGCAATAAATTGATCGCTGTATGAATATAAAAATCATGATCCAATCTGATATCATAAGAATGGAAAAACTCATGCCAAGTTTTTAATATTAAATGCTTACTGTTAGGATAAGAACTGTCCTCCAAAGAGTCTTACGAGGTTTCTACATTTATTTTGGTTCATGTTAGAGTAATTTTAATCTCTATTTATTATATTTTATCTGAGCCCAGCACTGTCAACCTGGTAAGGCAGCATTCTGAGGACTGGAAGCCTGTTATTAGTATATAAATGCTATTGAAACAAACTAAAACAAATTACAAACCTCCACGAGGAATTGTTCTCTATTTCTTTTAGATAAAAGAAGAAGATTTATTAGGAAGAAAGAGGACAAATCCAATGTATATCCGGAGGATAGGGGATCCTCCCTAAAGAATCACAAAAGCAAAAAAGAAAAGAACAAAATCATAACAAAGTTATATCATCTTATGAGCTGCAAAATAATAGCATCCCAACTATGATGAAGTGCTGAAATACTAGTGTTATTATATTGTCATGCACTTTAGCAAAGTATAGCCGAAAAGGGTAGCTCTTTCCCGTAATTCACGAAAAGATGTATGATAGTCCTTGAACATCTGACGGTTTCAGGAGAGCCATAAAGACCATAGCCCAGCAAATATAGCTCCTTGCCAAAGAGGCTAGCCAGACTTTGATCCAGTCTCTATATATATCAAAGAACATGAAAGAGTTTCCACATTTGGTTGGGGGTGGGGGTAGGAGGGCCGGGGGTAACCCAGTTCCAAAAACACTAACTAAATTAGTGCAAAAACCTCCAAGCAGTGGCACAATGTAGAAGCACGTAAGAATGGGTCTCCTCCCCCCTGAAGCACATGAAGCATATATTCAGAGGTAAGGCTCAATGTAGTCAACGAACTTGAAGTATGTCACTCATGTTAAGTTTCTGATGAAAGGCAGTTCAAGAGAACACCTTTATCTTTGTTGGAACTGTAGCTTTCGAAAATATCATGACAATATTAAACCGGTTAAGGAGAGGTTCGCTTGTGACGTGATCAAAGAAAGACTTACATGAGTGCAACCCTTATGGCTCAAGAATCCAGATTCTGTAATCAGATTGAGGAAGGAGATGAATTGGCTCCTAAAGGTCTAACAATGAGAGGATATCTCAAGTCTCCCTATCGGATGGGTGCTGGAGAAAGTGGAAGTTCCATGAGCATCTTCCATCGGTATTCAACGTGAAAGCGGATATATGGGCATTATGTCTGGTTGAGAGGTTGTATAGTCCAGTGAATTTGGATGCTAACGGTTGGTCTTCCACCCACGTGTCTTCCCAAAACACCTCCTCTATAGTCTGCTCCATAAGTTTCAACCTTAGAATGGCCTCCCTCCATAGAATCTTAAGAGAGTTTACATATTAGCTTTTATTAATGCTAGAATAACAGCCCTTATTTTTACTAGATTTAATCGGAGTCCTCCAAGGTCACATGACATTGTAAGGACAGAAAGTGCACTAATAGTCTATAAACCCTATTGAAAAAGACAGATAAATTGCAAACCCTGGCCCCCCATCTGCCCCCAGCATCGGGAAGCTTTGCAACAATTATGCAGAAATCCTCCCTTCCCATCTTGAAATATATATTTTGCTCCAAAATGGGAAATAACCATATATGGAATTTTATGAATATTACCATTGGCTTGGCAATGCATTTTGTGGTAAGTGAAGATAACAAGATAATTATGAAAGAGGAACTGGGTTCCAACTGACCATGGCAGGTATGGCCACATCATGATGGCTGTATCAGTCTCCAAAAACAGTAGGGAAATTTAAGACGTGAGGAGACTGGCGCATGAAGCACTCAATAGTAAGTCGAGAATTACTTACAGCCTCATCCATTGGTTTTCTTGAATTTGGAAGATGCAAGCAAATTATACTATGGGATTGATAATGCCCTCCTAGCCTGCTACCATTGACTCTGTGATGCAGAACAGGAAGATCCTAAAGTGGACATATTACTATAATATTATACATTCATGTAACTGAATGCTTATGTATCACTAAGGTATCTAGGTTATTTAAGAACAGTATCTATACAGAATAAGTTTATTATTTCCTACTTAATTAGGGTCTTTTCTAATTATTTTTTACTTTAGGTTATTCCAATTAAATAGCTTATTTTCCCACTTTGTAGAATTCCTACGTAAATTTAAGAATTTCTATTTTTATTGTATTTTATTGCCTATAAATAGGGTATCCTAATTTAGTTCTTTAGTAAACTATTTATAATTATTACTCAAATATTGATATATTGATTTGATTATTAGATCTAAGCTATATAATTTTGTCTTTGACCTCCATTTGTCCTACATCATTTCGTATTAAAGCATATTCCGATTCACTCACTTCGTATGTTACTCAGCAACCTGCTTCCTAAAGCATATAGCCTCTGCTTCCTAAAATACCATGGTCTCTCCTTCATAAAGCTCAAAGAAAGCATGTCCCTCGGCCGCTGTTGGAAGTTGTTCAACACTGTCCCTTTCACTGATGTCAGAGGCGGTCAACTGGTTCACCCACCAAACGTTAGCAGCTTCCATCATGGGAATCATCCTCACTCACCACAATTCACTGAATTGCTACTGCACATGAGATCTCCTGCATCCCAGCAACAACCAGTGAAACCGACACTAGATTCTAAACCACCCCCCAGGTTAATCCTCTTCTAAAAGACCCTCGTCAGAGGCTCGCCAGAAGCAGGCGTGACACCCATGCACCAACCAATGCCCATGGGTTTCAGTATTCTGAAGCCTTTTGTTGACTTGTTTAAATCAGTTTGGGCCAATCTGATTTGACTTATCCAATTCAGCTAACTCTAGACCTGTTCTTGATATTTTTAAACTGATTCTTGAGGTTTCTATGTGTGCTTTTTCACTTTTTGAGGTTTGTTTTGTCAAATTCCTGTCCTATATTTACTTCTTGGCAAGTCAATAATTTGAAAAAAAGTGTGCCTGGAGTTATACATTTATAATTTAAGTACAGTTAACTGTGTTCTTTTATGCTCCTGTATCACAATCCCATCTATCAAGTCATTAAGGTCAAGGGGATGCGGAGTGCAGGCAAATTTTAACGATACCTTCTCTTTTTTTTCAAAAGCTACTTAAAGCTGGTTTAATCAAGAGAAAAAATGCCAATCAAAACACTGTTACAAACTAATTAAGTTTGGAAGTACTATCTCGGTAGTTACTTGAGAGAAGAATATTATGTCGGAAACCTAAAAAGAATGAATCTTAAGAGGACGAACAAACGGAGCATTATAATATTTTGCCTTCTTTATAATCTGCATCAAAAATATGTTTTTATGATAATCCATAAATAAAAAAGGTGACAACCACCCACAAACTTACCAGATCTTTTGTTTATAGAAGATGCAAATGCAGGACCAACAGCACTTGACGGTCTTCCAAATTTCTTCCACTTTATGAGGACAGAGACAGCTCCAATCAAAATCAATACAAGCACAATGGCAGACAAAGCAATAATAGCAATGGTTCTTATGTTCATTCTCGAGTTCTTGTTGACAAAATTTGCTGTGAGAGGGAGATCTCCAATACTCCCACTTGGACCGGTACCAATGTAACTCCCATATGGAGGTGAAGATGGAATTCCTGATTAAAAAACTCTCAATCATAACCAATTTATAAGTAACAAAACACTGAAATGGTAATTTTCCAAGAGAATAGAGATTACTACCTGGATAACTAATATATATTGCTTCATAACTACCAAAAAGAGTGACATTTAATGGTACTTTTTTATGCCAAAATCTCTCATAAATCAGTACAGCAGTCGTATTATCAAATTTCTCTCCAAGTGGCACCAAGTTAATGTCCACCAGAGTTCTCCCTTGATTTTGACTGTCAGCACTAGCACCCATTATTTTCACTTGACTTTGTTCAAGATATGTACCAGCTGCAACCTCAATCTCTAGCTCATTCATTACAGGAAAAACAGCAAAAGGTGCTATATCCAAAAGAAGTCTAACTTTCATTGGAAACACACAACCACAAGGCGAACCAAATGGAGTTGAAGTAAGAGGCTCCACGCAAATTTGGTCACAACCTGCAAGAAATTTTCTCATTAAAACCACGAAGAAATATGTCCAGATACAGGAGCAAGCACGGAAACGGAATAACATTTAGGTATTCAGATGTTTAAGTCCAAAAAATCTATCACTCACACATGCTGTCATTTCTATTAGAACAACCAGAAGGACCACGACGAACAAAAAGGTTAGCATGGATCCAACTAATTAGAAGACTAAAACATCAAGCATACGAAAGAAAATAATATCAATAGAACCTGAAGGTTTCGCAAAGTTAAAAAAAATTGGAAGAAGAAACCCGCGAATTACCTTGTTCAGAAGGGGATGGAGCAGCCACATGAGGTCTTACACGATGATGGTGATGGAGATGATGGTGACCACGATGACGCCTTGGAAACAGGTTACTACTAGGGCTAGGAGCAGAAGCTGAACAAGATCAGGCAACTTCAGTAAGTAGCTGTAACCATAAAAAGGTATGGGCGGTATGATAATTATCATACTAAGTACCTATATCACTTGGTGCAGGCGCAGGACGAGGGTTGGGTGATGATGCCACAGGATTAGTAACATGTTTCTTGCGAGCCCTTGATTGAACAAATGACATACTCATTGAAACTGAACTAGCTGTAAGCAATGAAGTAATGTCACACATTTATCCAGGGGAAAATACAACTGTGACGCCATTGCAAAACAGATATGATAAAGGCGCATAGGTTATTAATTCCTCCTCTATTAGATGATGTACTTCATTTGTTGGGCAAATATATTGGACAAAAGAGATCCACAGGAGGAAAGAAAGGGTTCCCAGAGAGCATTTGCAAAGGTGAGGTTCTTCTTTTAAACTTTCCTAGACTTAATAATATTGAGAGAAACGAAATTAAAAACCCAAATGACTTAGATTTCCAAGTTCTTAGTTCATCGTTAATCTTTCTAATTTCTTTTAATTCTTCTTTTTTCATTCCAAATCCATTCTGAATTAAATGTTTAAAGCCCATCCATCAAACCAACATATCAGGTTTCCGAGCTATATCAGAAACTTATTGAAATTTGCCCAATTACACATGCACAGAAGTTTTGAATTTGAGAAGGCAAAGGATTCGAGAGTGAAGAAATTGTAAGCATCTATAACTACCATGTCTTGGATGTTGTTGTTTTTTTGAAGTAATCTTGGATGTTGTAATTCCCAAAAGTTGATATTTTTACCTAAATAGGATCAGGAGCAAGTAAACAGTTGATAAACTAACCGTGATTTGTCCACCAACAGGAAGATGATCTAACAAAGAGTCCTAAAAGCTTTAACAGCTATTATTCCTCAATCTGATCAATATAAGAGATTACTTAAATTTGATATGAATCTTGTTGTCTTTTGATGTGAACTATTAATTCAACAAAACCCATAAGATTTAGGAAAAACACTGTAGTCCTTTCATTTAATTATCTCAATTTTTCAAGTTCTGGGAAATTAGTGCTCAAGCAAACCATTGACTCTTCCTGTTGGAACATCTTCACTTGTATATTGTCCAGTCAAACCAATAAATTTGTTTCCCACTAAACTATTTGATTCTGCACAACCCAAAAAAATATTCCTCAATAATACAAATGACAATTCAATCCCACAATGATGTAGCTAAGGTCATGTTTACATTGGCCTCTTTTTATAGCTTTAACCTGATTTATTGTTTAGTTACTTCAACCATTTCCCTAGTTTCAAACTCCAAATAAATGGTCAAGTGATTGGCATAAGTACCAAATTGTGCTTAAAGCTAAAAAGATTACAAAAATGACACAAAATGACAATTTAAGTAAGAAGAACACTATTTAAAATAAGTTAAAATGTTGAGGGTATTTCTATAACAAAAAGGTCTAACCAGTTTTTTACTTTTGATTTAACGTTGTATAGCTTTAAATAATGTTAGGGCTGCCCAAACACCAATTGCTTTTTTGTTTAATAGAAAAAGAAACATTATTAAGAAGGAGAAGTGAACAGTAAAAAGCAGGGATAAGATATCCAGCCGAACAGAAAGCAAGAAACAAAACAAAAATCAATTTTTTTAACCCAGAACCAACGTTATGCTGAACCGACAAAGGAAAAGACAATAGAAAGAGGCTATAAATTTGTGCAGGTTTCTTTAGTAGTTCAGGAAATCTGGTTCCCTCTTCATATGTCAATTTTAGGAAGTTCGCTTCTACTTGAGAGGGTAACTATTTACGACCACTACTATAAAAATGACAAATTTACCATGTTTGGCTATAATTTCCGCAGCAGATAATGGCCGAGTTGGTTGTAAAGAAGGAGACAGGAATATGTGCACTAATGGATGCCCTGAAATACAAGAAAACAAATATTTTAATTAGCTACTACAAAGCAATTAGTTTTTAAGCCTTAAATATCTAGAAATATCACTGACATTTATATCACATGTTCTATTATGCATACACAGATATGACTATAATGTACATTCAATAAATGAGCCCACTGATTTCTTATTTAAAGAAAACAATATCGCTTTGGAAAGGAAACTTCTTATATTAAACATATCAGGTTATTGTAATCTATTTGATTGCTATGACCATTTACCACCAGGCACCAAACACAACAGAAATAAATGTTCCACTTGTGAAGAAAACAAGTGTATGCACCAAATGAACTAGCATGTGATTAGATCCTCTTAAATAATGCCTAATGAACTAGCAATAGATCTATGCATATGACACGTGTATGCATGTCTGTGCAAATGAATTACTGTGTATGCACCAAACACACGGCACAAACATGCGGCAATGGTATATACATATATCCAAATGCCATTGACTAGTGTCACAATAACGCAGCACCACAGCAGTATCACACAATATATCATGCATAGCGTACTTAATAACAATTAACATACTTCATATTGCAGGGATTTGACCATATATAACAAACCAACCATATTGTCCACTGAAGGAGTAATAAGATTCCACATTGCATAGATTTCACCATAGGAGTGTAAAGAAAATTCCAAGAAGAACAGCAGTTAAGGAGAACATGATATTTCTTGATATTGTTTTATCACAAACCTCAATAGATCCAAGAGCTAAAAAAAAACTTATTCCTGCCCCATATATTTGGATTAACACTTGGCGAGTTGATTTGAGGATAAAAATATTATAACTTATCATAATCTAAATTTAAGGCGAAAAAACCATACTTCTTTAGAAGAAAGAAAGCAAAATGGAGAAAGAACTGTAGCTAGATGGTAAGCTTCAATCAATTAATCTAAGCAACTGAAACTCTGTCCTCCAGGGCCGTGACATTAATCGTTAAGTTTCTGAGAATACATAAATTTTTAAATATCTTATACATTTTAGAAACTTAGATGTACTTTCCAATGCATGATGTGCAAAGCAAGCTTTAGACTTTACTCATAATGTAAGCTATTTCCTGAGTAACTTTCTTAATTTCTTACCTAATCAACAACTTTGGAAAATTAAGATTGCCTTCCATACAAGATAAACATAAAACTGTACTATATTCTTTTGAACCATTAATTGGTTGAACATTCCCTCCCCAATATTCTTATTTCTCATCTTACATCCATAAATGAATTCACATGGAGCCAAGACATGACAATAGAAATCAGCATTTGATAATTGGACTTGGAAACTAATGGTGAACGAGCTAAGGATACTCTAACCCAATGAAAATGTATATATATACACACATATATGTATGCTATTTAGGTTTATTTTTTACAAGAATAAAAGAAGTTCTAGAATAAATGTTTAGGATAAAGAATGAACAAAAATAATTGAACTAAAGTCACATTATATCGAAGTCGCAAGATGAACATATTAAATTTCTCAAAACTAGGTTCGAAGAAGACAATCATAAAGGTAAAATTAATTACACATACAAAATTATTCCCAAACATTATCGAGCATCCAGTTGAGACTTGGAACCTTATTAGCAGCAACTGCACCTAAGTAATTTCCCAATCTTTCATAAACAAGCTACAGCATTATCCAAATGAAACACGAGGCTTTGCTAGCTCTTAATAAAGATCCACCTAAAGCAAAATGACTAACTACCGAGAAATCTAAAATATGAAATAATACGTGCAAAATAAAACTCGAGCAAGCTTAATTCATCAATCAGCTTCCGAAGTATAAACAAAAACAACATTAACCAAAAATGTCCGAGTTTTCTCTTTACTTGCTCTTCTCCAGTTCATACCAGCAACCAGCAACGAGACCAAGCTTTAACCAAAAATCCATACCTAAACAACAAACGAAAAAGCTGAGCTGGTGAAGAAGGACAATGAGCAGCAGCAGCATCGAAGTTCGCATCTTCCCTCGACGAACCAAAACCCAAAACCATTGTCAGCAATCGATACATTCGAGCTGCATAGCCTCTTCGGAGACTGGTAAGAGGATCCTAGGTTTCCGGTGAAGCACCTGCCGCTGGCCAACCTCTCCATCGCACAGAGGGAACGAAGTGAGAGATTGCTGCATGGCTTCCTTTCAGGAGCTTATAGAGAGTAAGCAATCGAGCATGAATTAACTCACTAAAGCGATAGAAACAGAAAACAGACTCGAAACCCTAGGAGAGAGAAAAAGAGAGAGTAATGGAAGTAAGTTTGATTACAGATCCAGGAAATGCGGTGAAGATCCACGGAAAGGAAGGCGTCGATGTAGCTAAGAAAACAGCGTCCGTAGATAAAGAGAGATAATGTAGTTGGCGTAGGAGGTGGGTGAAAATGGCGGGTCTGGAGAGGAAGTGATGGAGTAAAACGAGGGTTTTGATTAGTTTGATTGAGGAGTGAGAGAGTCTGATGGAGCAGAAAGAGAGAAGCGGGAAGGAGAGAGACTTTATTGCTGGGTGGAGTGGTGTTGCTGGAACAGTACTGATTTGAGGACATATGATGATATGATGGCTGTCTGGTCCACGCGTGGTCTTCAGCGAGTAGCTGAAACGCTCCCAGCCAAACGACAAAGCTTTGACCGTTTGCCACCGTCATTTTTCTTTTTTTAATTAAAAATAAATAAAAAGCGGGGACAATAATTTTTAATTAGAATATTAATTTCAACTTTTATTACACAAAATAACAAATTCGAAAATTATGTTATGATACTAAAATCTATCCATTTAAATTTTGAAAATTAAGACAAAAATCCAAATCAATAAAGACACGTGATCGGAAGGCTGAGCAAAACGACAAATCTTTAACCGTTTTGCTCCCCCTTCAGACAATTTTTTAAATATAAACTATAATGTGATAAAATATAAAATTTATTCTCTTTTGGGGATTCCCCAATTCGTGCCTATTCGAAATGTCCAGTTTACATATTGACGAGTATTTGGAAAATAATTTTTCTTTAAATGGTCTCCAGATAAAATTAATTATAATCTTTATTCAAATTTTATTATAAACAATATTTTTTAGTAATTAATAAAATATATGGGTAATAAATATATTACTTTAAATATTATTTATTCACGGCAAATGTCCACCGAGCAAATACATATACTAAATTTTATTTGCATATAATATTTTAAATTAAAAAGTACAATAATTTATATATGTGATTAACTATATCAAATTGTATACAGGTTTGAAAAACATAATTGCGGTGACATAAAATAAAATATACTCATAGTACGTTAAAGCTTACATATCAAACTCTTAATTTAGAGAATGAAAAGTTTGTCTATCTTTTTTAATTTTTTTATTTTTTATCATTTATATAAATAACTATAAATATGTAAATATGTAAACGAGTTTATGTACTGCATATAATTATTCAAATAATTTTATATACTAATTTTATTTTCTAACTATATTATATATTTTTATATTTTATTCGAATTTACATCTAATTTTATAAAAATAATAAGTAAATACGACCTTATAAAATATTAGAAAATTTTCTTTTTGCTATTGAAAAAAAAAAGTTATCAACACGTTATCTGCATGAATGTCTCCCTATAGTTCAAATTGTTATTATTTATTATATGTAATATCGTCGTAAATATTTTAAATACTTAAAAACTCATAAGATATATAGATAAATGATAAATAACTATTTGAATAAAATTGATTTTTGACGATGAAAAACTTTAAGGATAAATAAAATGCTACAAGGGATCTATCAATTTAAACATTTTCAATAATAACAAAAAAAATGAAAATAATAAAATAGTTTGAAAAATGAAGTTTAATATATAAGCTTTAGAGAATGCGTATTAAAATAGTTGCAAGGACACGATGTCAAGTTTCTAATGATTTCTCTAATAAACAATATACAAAAAAAAATACAAAGTTTATAAATAATAATGAGCGATGAAAAATAAATAAATAACTTTAAGTTTTAAGATAATGGATCTCTACATGATAACGTATAAAAAAAATATTAATATAAATTATGATGAATAACAATTAAAAATGACAAATTAGTTAAATGATATACTAAACTTGCTCTTATCAATCAAGTTTGAAAAATATAATTATGTTAAATTAATAGTTATCAAGGCAAGTATGAGTAGGAAAAACTATACCTATAATGAATATGAATAATATATGTATACTACTATATTCTATTTAGATATTGTAAACTACTTTAACATTTTTTTATATTTATATGGATTAAGTTGATGTGTTAGGTTTTTTTTAGTCTTTAATTTTAGTTTGATTAATTTACCAATTAAATATTAAATTATTATTTTTTAAAATAAAATATACTAACAAATAAGATAAGTAACTTTATTAATCCCATCAACAAATAAGTAACAAGTAATGAATACTAGAGTTAGTTATAAAGTATATACGAGAACTTAGATGTTTAATCACTTCGCGATAAGTTTTAAACTTTTTTACATGTGTATTTTGACGATCAAAATTAACATTTAGATATAGATACCTAAACGGTGAGCATCGTTGGTCACGAGCAATATTGACACAGTGGTTTTTGTATTTATGCTAGTAAAAGAAAACATGAATGTAAAATAAGAAATTGGGTATGTTATTGTTTACCCATTATGGATAGTTTAACTTGTATTTATGATACACGATGAACTATAAATGATAATCATATTTATGAATTTGTCAAAATTATAAGTATGCAAATTTTTTTAAAAGTAGATTTTATTCCTTAAAATATTGTAATAACATTGTCCATGTATAAAACTTTATGAACTTTGTTTAATAGGTGAGAATAATAGATTTTCATATGTAGTTAAGTTATATAAATATTATAAATGATAATATAAAATTTATGTTAATCATATGACACATAAATTAATTAAATTACATGTATTTGTTTGACCTAATGCTAAAATTATTCGCTTATGAAATTAATAATATTATTATTTTTTGTATAAAAATATTTATTAGAATTAAATATATGAGAGTTATAAAGTATGAATTAAGAATATACATATTAAAAAATTAGATGATATATTTATATCATCTAATTACAAATATAAAATAAATGTTAAGAAATTTATACTCTTTATATAACCACCCTCATTAAAATTTTGATAAAAGGGGTGATTTTATTTTTATTATTATTATTTTTAATTTAAAAAATATCTGAGTAAACCCAAG